TCAATCAGTGAACCGGTCAACCGATCAACCAGTCAACCAAACTATCAATCAAACAGTCAACCAATCATTCAACCAGCCAATTACAAAGTATCAATCTTTCAAAATATCTTTGTTCAGAAGGAAAAATCAATAAAAAGGTGTATGAATGTTTCCATTTTTGGGTGATCTGTCCCTTTAACTTTGACTTTAATAGCCAAAGGCAACCATGATGGAGTGTTCTGAACATCTGACACTTGGCTGTGCAGAAATTACTCACTTCAACTTTAGTCCACAGTTGCGAGGTGGTTTAGAAAACACGGCTGCACAAATCTGTTTCCACCACTGATGTCAAGCTCAATTCATTCCGGAGTTCATGCCGGATGCATGATAAGAAACCGCTCCCACGCAGCTCTTCTGTTATGACTTTTTTGGAGACTAGATCACAGATCAGCGTCCTTGTCCTGCCAAATGGCAACAAAATCTGCCTCTGTAACCATCGCAACCAGGCCTGCCTACACCTTAGTCTCCGTGCGTTGTGCAGAAAGTTGACAGATCAGTGTGACATGTCTGCTATTCTTACTCTTTCAATTTGAGGGGCCAACTCAGTCAGTGTGGGCCCTGTTTTAAATGCCATTATTTGTGTAAATGATTCATGGGAACCTGCTGGATGTGAAAGGTTTGTTTCTTGGCCGTTTTCTGTTTGTAATAATCTGAATCACTGAATTGTGCTTTGGTGGTGTATGGATGTTTTTTTTTTTATGTTTGCTTAGATTTTTATTTTTTTTATTTTTTTTTTTTGCTAGGGTGTTGCTAAGGCAGTCTGAGTGTTTGAGTGTTTCGAGAGTGGTTGCTAGGGTGTTGCTAAGGTGTTTTGATTCATTATGTGATTGCTAACCTGTTCCAATTGTATGAACGTGTTTTTTGGTTGCTAGGGTGTTGCTAAGACAGTCTGCTTGTTGGAGTGTTTTGAGAGTGCTTGCTAGGGTGTTACTAAGGTGTTTAAGTTCATTATATAATTGCTTGTTTCGATTGTTTGAACACAGTTTTTTTGTTGTTGTTACTAGGGTGTTGCTAAGGTGTTTCAGTTCATTATATAATTGCTTGTTACAATTGTTTGAACACATTTTTTTTTTTTTTTTGCTAGGGTGTTTCCAAGGCTATCTGAGTGTTTGAACACAATGCTTTATCATTGTTTGGGTGTTGCTGAGGTGTATCAGTTCATTATGTGATTACCAAGGTGTTCTTAATATTTGAAAACAATTTACACTTTGGTTTTGAGAGTGGTTGCTATGATGTTGGTGTTTTGGTTAAGTTAAGGTGTCCGGGTTGTTTGAGCACATATTTTTTACTTTGCTAGGGTGTTGCTAAGGCAGTTTGAGTGCTTTGAGAGTGGTTGCTAGGATGTTGATAAGGAGTTTCAGTTCATTATATGATTGTTTGTTGTTCTGATTGCTTGGACTGAACACAGTTTTTTTGGTTGCTAGGGTGTCACTAAGGCATAAAGAGTGTTTGAACACATTGTTTTATGATTGTTTGGGTGTTGCTAAGGTGTATTAGTTTATTATGTGACTGCCAAGGTGGTCAGAATTTTTTAACACATTTTACACAGTGGTTGCTAGGGTGTCAGTTTATTATATGATTGCTTGGTGTTCCGATTGTTTGAACAGTTGCAAAGATGTATCAGTTCATTATGTGATTGCCAAGGAGTTTAGAATAAAAACATTTTACACATTGGTTTTGAAAGTGGTTGCTAGGGTGTTACTAAGGTGTTTCAGTTCATTATGTGCTAACGTCTTTCAGTTTTTTGAATGTTGTTTTTTGTTTTTGTTTTTTGGTTACAAGGGGTTTCACTAAGGCAGTCTGAGTGTTTAAGAACATTGTTTTATGGTTGTTAGGGTGTTGCTAAGGTGTAGTACATTGTTTTATAGTAATTTCAGGATGCTGCTAACATCTTATGAATGGTTGAGCACATGTGTATAGTTGATAGGGTGTTACTTAGTTGCTGGAGTGTTTGAGCATGTTTCAAGGTTGCTAGGGTGGCACTGAGAGATATTAAGTCTTTAAGAACACGTTGTTTTTTGGTTGCTAGGATGTCGCTAAGGCTGTTTGAGTAATGTTTATGGCTGTTAGGTGATGCCAAGGTGTTCTGGGTGTTAAAGTACAGTGTTTTATAATGTTTTTTAGGGTGTTGCCAAGGTATTATAAGTGTTTGAGCACATTTAGATGGTTGCTATGGTGGTTCTGGTTGCTAGGGTTTTGGTTCTTTGAGTGTTTGAACATGTTTGAGGTTGATAGGATCTCACTCACAAGGGATTTCAGCTGTTTAAACATTGTTCTGTTTTGGTTGCTTGGGTGTTGCTGAGATGTTTTGAGGATTTTAGTGTTATTTATGGTTTCTAGAGTGCTGCTGTGGTGTTCTGAACATTTGAGCAGATTGTTTTGTGATCGCCAGGGTAGTTCTAACGTCGACAGATCAGTGTTGTTTATGTTGTGTTTGGCGTTCTTATTCTGTCACCTTGAAGTGCCAACTCTGTCAATGTGGGCTCAGTAGTTAAATGACTTAAATGCCGTTATTGATGTAAATGAGTCATCTTAAACTGTCGAATGCGGAAGCTTTGCTCTTTGGTCATTTTCTGTGTGTAATAACCTGCATTACTGGATTGTGTTTGTTTGTTGTTTTTATCTTTTATCTTTTCTATATTTTCTCTTGACGATTGATGAGTGTTGGTTCATTCTGTCTTTGATCTGTCCATCTCACAGCACCTCTGCTTCAAAGATGAAAAGTGACGAGAAAGGAAAAAGAAGACATCAAATTTGTAGTTTTTTTGAAAACCCATTTGGTAATAGGAAGTAATGAATGGTTGCCAGGATGTTGAATTAATACTTTGTGCTATATGTGTTGCTAGGCATTGCTGCTGTATACTTATGTCAGGGTATGTGAATGGGTCAATTAAAACTTTTGCTGTGTTGTTGCTAAGGTGTTTCTATGTGGTTGTCAATGTGTTTGGTGTAGTTTTTAGTGTGTTGCTCTATGGATCTTTTCTAAATGGTTGCTAGGGAATTCAAAGTGGTTGCTGGGGTGTTCTGAGTAATTCAGTTCATCATGGCAGCTACTCCCCATGTTGGCATGGGTTTCCTCCAGGTGTTTCGGTTTCCCCCACAGTCCATAGACATGCGTTATAGGTAAATTGGGTAAACTTAATAGGCAGTAGTGTATGTGTGTGCATGCAAAAGTATGGGTGTTTCCCGGTGCTGGCTAAGCTGAAGGAAATTGATTGAATGATTTGGCAGCTAAGGTGTTCTGGATGTCTGAGCACATTTATTTATGGTTGCTAAGGTGTTCAAATGCACTGTATGTTTGCTTTGGCATGCTAGGATATTGTGGATGTTTATGGATATTTGTGGTTGCTAGTTGTTAATTTTTAGCGTTAAGGTTTTAGTCCTTGTTGTTTGTAAAAGTTCTAGCTAAATGCTAGGGTGTTGTTAAGTCCCCCTCACTTTTCGAGACAGACCATTTAGAAGCAGGTGATTTGTAATTATATGAACATATTTTGTAGGATCTCATTTTAAAGCAAACACACTAAATTCTAGGTGTATGCTAGTTTTGTTGAATAAAATCAGCAAACAATGTAAATGAAATATGACAACAAGATGCTGCGGTGCCAGAAACTTGTATTATTGTTGGCTAAGTGAAGTAATGGCTAGTTTTGAAGTAACTTATAACAGTGCATGCGCCTCAATGTGCATACTTTCCACCCTAATTTATTGAATATTACTAATGTTATATACTATTTAGATCAGAAAGGTGGATATGGACATTGAGACGCAGGGATATTGATGGTCATATGAGTTGATCATAACGGAGATACATTCACAAACAAATTGCTTCCTCCATTATTATGAGAAGTGAAAGCAGGAGATGAGGTGTGTTTCAGGGTTTTCAAATTTAACATGGAGGGAGGGTAATACATTTCCATGCACACAAACGCATGCTCTTTATTAGCAATGCTTGTGCGATCACTTATCCATCAATGTAGAAAAGTGATGTTAGATTATAATTTTCGTAATTTTAAATAATATTTGCATACTGACCACCGTAAAAACACCCAATCATAGATATATGTTTATATGTTCACATATCTATGGCTCTGGATGGCCAGTCCTCCACTGCACCTTGTTCCACGTTCATTTAAAAGGAGCGCTACCCTGTACTAAAATGGCAGCTCTATTAATGCATGCTTTCTAATAGACAACAATAGTGTAGGTGATATCTAATGTAAATATCTTTGACAATGCATAAAAACAGTCATTTTTTCCCTTGTGAAATCAGGCTAGTTTTAATACATTTTAAGGTGTTTCTTGGGTGGTCTGGTTTCTAAAGTGTGGTCAAAGGTGTTCTTAGTCCTTTCACATTCAGTATTATCTATCATTATCTATCTAAGACTATAAAATACACAAGACATGTCACTCTATTCTTTTGAATGGGGAAAAGTGTAACTGTCAATTTGGCAAATGAAGCCCCGCCTTCTTATACAGGAGCCAATCAGCAATCGCTATATGGGGCATAAAGCCTGCCTTCTAGTACAAGAACCAATCAGCTATTGCTACAGTCTGACATTTCTCTGGGGGAGGGGTTTGGACCAGATGTGAATTTCTGCAGATTTTGTGTAACTCAAACATTTAGAAATGAAACTAAAGACACGTTGTTGTTGTTGTTTAATATGATTGTTGTTTCATAATATGAAGTTTAATCCTAAGCTTGCCAAGCCCTTTTGGAATTTGATGTTTCTCCATGCAAACAGAATTTCTGAGCTTACTGCCTGAGAGCCATTTCAAAGATTGCAGCCGAGTGAAAAACTTGCCTTAAAGGAACTTTGTTATTATACATTTTTTTCGGGCAATCTAGATGGTTGCTAAGGTGTTTCTATGGTGTTGTGGTGAATATGTGGTGTGGAAATGTCATCGCTATTTGTCTTAACCAATCAGTCATCAAATAAAAGACTTTTTTCTTCTCTTGATAGGTGTCTCTCATGTGTGAATGGCTCTTTTCCATGCCACTGGTGCAAATATCGACACATGTGCACCCACAATGCCAACGACTGCTCGTTCCAGGAGGGCCGTGTCAACATGTCTGAGGTCAGTCTATCTAATACAACACAAACCCTGTTTTTTTCTGCACACAACTCTGCTTTAATTGAATTGAAAATTGCTTTTCATGTCTGCAAGCCATCACCAAAAAACACAAGGGTGCAGATGCACACATGGGCGGTCATGTCCTATTTGTGAGCGCTGTTCTTTTTCGCGCTGGCTTTGTGCGAGCAGCTGTTCTAAGGAGAGCTGCGCTGGATTAATGCACTTATAAACGGCACTGACTGAATGACTATGCAAATTGTATCGTGTTGTACATTTACAAATGCTACATTTGCATAAAAACCAATATCAATCACATCTCTCCCTCCTTCTCGTATGAGCGCTGGAAGCACTACGCGTGTACAGTGGGTTATGATTACCGACGCACACGCATCAATCCTCCACATGCCCGTTCTCGACTGCCGAACTGTCTCGGGGGAGCATTTGTATCTCAAACCGTTTTGAGTCGACCAGGGGGCTGTTCACGCATGCCACAGCTGTTAAACAGCGCTTTCAGTGTCGAGAAGGGCATTTGGGTGTAATGTACATAAATGTTTACCATTTTCCACATAATGTTATCGGCGTTTGCTCCCAGGTACTCACCGGACGTGCTGCAGTATCCATTTCTTCAGCATTTGGTGTTCCTGAGGATCCAATATAATTAACCCGTAGGCATTTATTGAAATAATAATATAGTAATAAATAATAATAAATGATAAAAAAAATAATAAAAATAAATAAATGCACTGCTAAATTTGCAAATAAATGAACAAATAAATGAACAAATAAATAAACGAATAAATGGACAAATAAATGAATAAACAAATTAACAAATAAATGAAAAAATAAATGGACAAATAAATGAATAAATAAATGAACGAATAAATGAATGAATAAAGGAACAAATACATGAACAAATAATTGAATGAATAAATGAAAGAATATATGAATGAATAAATGGCCGAATAAATTAACGAATAAATGAATGAATAAATGAAAAAATAAATGAATGAATAAATGAACAAATAAATGAACAAATAAACAAATAAATTAACAAATAAAATAACTAAAAATTGAATGAATGAATAAATAAATAAATAAATAAATAATTAAACAAATGATTGAATGAATAAATAAATAAACAAATAGATAAACGAATGATTGAATGAATGAATAAATAAATAAACAAACAAATACATAAACAAATGATTAACTGAATCAATATCAAATGAAACAAATGAATATATATAAAGATTAAAAAATAAATTAACCAGTTGCAATATTATTATTATTATTATTATTATTATTATTATTATTACTACTACTACTTCAACTAATGCATGCACACTCATTTAAATATCATTGTTAAAGCCTTGTAATAAATGATTATTTTTATGACTAGTGTTATTATTTTTTTTATATTTTATATTTAAATATTTTTTATTTGAATTATAATTGTTGTTTATTTAATTACTATTTTTTAAACCTTTATACTGACATGGGGTTAATTCTAAGGGCATTTCATACTTTACAGGATCTTATCATGATGCCTTGAAGGAACGCAATGTTTATGATTTAGGTAGACTTGACTTTATATAGTCTTTTGCTTGGATTGGGAATATAGTGAATGTTAAAGAGTCTTTATCACAAATGTGCAGCAAAATGTCTTTAACCCCTTTATCCTTGACTGTACGCATACTGTATAATGTCCTCAAATGGCTTTATAGATTTGTAAAATGATTCCTGAATAATTCTGAAGGATTTTATCAGCAGTAATCTGGGTCTGTGGAGATTCAGGAGAGCAATGATACATTTTATTTTCTTCATTTATAATAATTAACCATTTGATTGTAGCATGTTATTCGTTGATTGAGTCTGATCGATTATACTTGGTGCAGAGATCTGATCTAACAATTTACATATTAGAAAACTGCTGCAGGATTTATTTAAACAGCAGTTGCAATGCCCTTCACTATCATTGGCACTCTTGATAAATATGAAGATGAATGGGTAAATATATTTATTATTTACCCTTTTGATCTTTGAACACTATAAGACACTTCAGTTTGTTTTCGGATGTGAATAGAGGCTTTTTAAAGCAAATCTTTTCAGTTTACAAAGGCAAGAAAAAGCAAATGCTAAATGTGAATAGGGGTGTTTTAGTTGTTAGAGACAAGCATAATAAACACAGCTAGTTAGTCATAAATTTTGCACAAATGAACAGATTGTTATTCTAAATGTGGCATTTCAATCACTTGTTTTTCATTTGATGCTACAAAATGAGCATTAACATTAAGTGTAATCGTATTATATGTGTTATATGTATAATATTAGTAATGCTGAATTGATGTTTTTTGCCCCTCGAAACACCTTCTTAAAAGTGTGTGTGTGTGTGTTTTTAAATTACTTGTTTATTGGTTTTAATAAACATACAAATGAAAACAAAAACAAAAGACACATGTATAGCAGCAAAAGTCTTCAAAATAAAAAAATAAATAATTTTTTTTTTTTAGTTTTAAATATTTGGAGCAAAAGATAAAATGGTCAAAAAATAAAGACTTTTTTCCACAACCTTCTTTGTTTATATATATCAAGGGTGCCAATATTGTTGTGCACTGTAGATGTCATGACTTCATGAGCTGGCTTTGTTGTATCCATGAAGCTGCGGTGATGTGTGTGGGATAATAAACACTGCGGGAAAAGCTCTTGACGTGGAGGCTGGTGGCGTGTGGTGTTTATTGGGTGGAGGTTGAGGGCGAGACAGCGACTGAAGGTGTGGGATTGAGGTAGAACTGAAGGATAGGTGTTTCTCGTCTGGTGTCTTCTGGTGGTTAATAACTGCTGGTTGAAGTGAGATTTCAGAGATTGCTTTTCTTTATTATTGTCAGACAGGTTTCTAGAATGAGTGAGGTGTCTATGTTGACAGCATTTGGGGGAATCATAAGGGTGTTTTGGTGTAGGACTAATGTTAATACAGTTAACACAAGCAGCCATTCACGATCAGAATCAGAAAGAGCTTTATTGCCAGGCATGTTCACAAGGAATTTGTTTTCATGAAAGAGCTTCTGCAAAGCAACAGAATTACAGAGACAGGACAAAAACAGATATTAAGTATATTTAAAAATTAAAGTAGTGAATGCAATTATACAAACTGAAATGTGTATTTACAGGTATATTACTATATACAACATTATATGTGCAGCTGTTATGTGCAAGTTGGCATGCAAAGTTTGTTGTTAAATAAGCGTTAATGTGTTTAAAAAGTGTATAGCAAGTAGTGATGTTTGTTTCATAATTATTATCATCAAGTGTTCATGAGATGGATTACCTGAGGGAAGAAACTGTTTCTGTGTCGGGCTCTCTAGTGCACAGTGCTCTGTAGCATCGACCAGAGAGTAAAAGTTCAAAGAGGCGGTGTGCTGGGTGTGAGGGGTCCAGAGTGATTTTGGCAGCCCTTCTGCTTGCTCTTAATAACTACAGTTCTTAGAGAGTAGGGAGGGTTGTACCAGTGATTCGCTCAGCTGTCTGAACTATTCAACGTAGTCTTCGGAGGTCGGATTCGGTTGCTGAGCTAAACCAGACAGTTATTGATGTGCAGAGAACGGATTCAATGATGGAAGTGTAAAACTGTTTTAGCAGCTCCTTTGGAAGCTTGAACTTCCTCAATTAATAAAGGAAGTACAGCCTTTGTTGAGCTTTTTTGACAATGGACTCAATGTGAGTGTCCCATTTCAGGTCCTGAGAAATGGTGGTGCCCAGAGACCTGAATGACTTAAAAATACTTTAATCGTTAAGCGTTGAGGAGCTATAAACACAAACATACAAAGCAAAGACATTTTCATAGTATCTCTTATTATATATTTTTTTCTTCTTGAGGAAAGTTTGATTTTCTTTAGTTTTGTTGAAATAAAAGTAGCTTTTAATTTTTAAAATGCTGTTAAGGTCAATATTTTTGTCTAGTAAAATAATATGTACTGTCATCATGAGAAATTTATTTTTAGCGCAGTGGGTAGCAAAATCGCCTCACAGCAAGAAGGTCACTGGTTCGAGCCCCAGCTGGGTCAGTTGGCATTTCAGTGTGGAGTTCGCATGTTCTACTGTGTTTGTGTGGGTTTCCTCCGGGTGCTTCAGTTTCCCCCACAAACTCAAAGACATGCGGAACAGGTGAATTGGACCAGCTAAAATGGCAGTAGTGTATGTGATTGTGTGCAAAAGTGAATGGGTATTTCCCAGTGTTGGGTTGCGGCTGGAAGGGCATCCAATGCATAAAACATATGCTGTATAAGCTGGCAGTTCATTCCGTTTTGATAAAGGGACTAAGCCGAAAAAAAATAAATGAATGAATGAAAACAATTATGTTTAAAATAAAAAAAATTATAAATTAAAATTTCATGGTAGGGCTAATTTTGCCTTTAACTGTATTTAAAAAAATAAGTAAATAAATGAGCAAATAAAAAATAAATAAATAATAAGCAAATAAATAAATAAATAAATTAACATATAAATAAATTAGCAAATAAATAAATAAATTAGCAAATAAATAAACAAATAAATAAATAAGCAAATACATAATAAAGAAAATAAATGAATAAGCAATAAATAAATAAATAAGCAAATAAATAAACAAATAAATAAATAAGCAAATAAATAATTAAGAAAATAAATGAATAAGCAATAAATAAATAAATAAGCATATAAATAAATAAATAAATAAGCAAATAAATAAGCAAATAAATAAATAAATAGAGTTAATAAATATATTTGTTTCCCAGAGATGGGTTGTGGCTGGGAGTTCATCCGTTGCGTAAAAACGTGCTTGATAAGTTGGCGTTTCATTCCGCTGTGGCGACCCCAGATAAATAAAGGGACTAAGCTGACAAGAAAATGAATGAATGTATTATATTTAAGAATGTTTACATTTATGCATTTTTACTTTTACTTTTTCAACTTATTAATACTTTAATATTGAGGGCTAGATGAGCAATAAAGAAATATTGCTTTTTAAA